CACCCAAAATTTTAAAACAAAAATATCCGAAACAAAACAAATCAAGAACATAATTACTCTAATTGGAGTCTTTGAAGAGTGACTACTGTGACTCATAGTAAGGATGGAATATGCTTAATGGTCTAGGTCAAATTGAAAGCTGTGATACGGTTTAATCTGGAATCCCAAGTAAATACAGGAAAAATAAAACTCTACTCCTGGTGCTCATGTTGCAGGAGCCTATAGTGAGAAAATTGCTTTTTCATTGAAAACAAATCAAAGATTAACTTCCCAACATTACTTCTAATTTGTTTCTTTTTTAGAGTTCTTGGAAACTGTTGATTTAACTAGTGAGTTATTTGCTGTGCAGGAATAGTTGTGAGAAAATGCCACTTTTTAAAACCCCTCCACTGAAAAGTCAACTAGCCCATTTTTTTTTTCTGCTCACATTTGCAGAGTTTCAGCTTCGCAGCTGGCAAAAGCATTAAGGCTGAGTATGTTTCCAATTAGAAGCAAGATTTTCCTGATGCACGGTCCAAGGTTACACAGTGGTCCACAGAGGATTTGTGGAGACCTTTTCCTCTTTGTCTTCTTATTTTCTGCTGCTGTTACACAGAGAGTTTGCAGAACTTTGGCTGCTGAACAAGATGTAAAAATTTCTGAAAAGTTAGTTCATTAGGAAGTAGCAATTGCATCTGAGCAGAGAGAATGCACCATTTCAGATGTGTTTCCTTGGAAATAACTTTCAGGAAGTCAGAGAGTTAAAATCCAGAAGGGCATTGTTTCACAAATGGAAGCTGTTTGTACATGTGCCAGTGGGAATTGTTTTAGAATGTTCATTTTAGGACAGAACAGAATGAAATAACATACTCTAAAGTATTTCACTGAGTAATGCACTTACATGTTTTCCAAAGTTGTGAAGGGAGGAGAGAAAAGCCAAAGTAAAGGTGAAAAGTGACCCTTCAGCCAAACCTTCATTTATAACATAAAATCCTCCTGAATGGTTATGAGGATAGAAAAATATATTCAAATACTGCACACAGAAAAAAGGTAGTCACCTTACACCTTGCCATCAGTCTATCAGACATATCTTGAAAAGAAAATTATTCTGTGTTTTTATGTGATGACATATTGCATATCACTTTAAAATAAAGACCTGAGGCTTGCTACAAAAGCTCTTCTTACATCTCTACAAGTTATCAAGAAGTAGTTGATACAGGCTGAGAATTCCTAATTCAAAACTTCATTCTCCAAAATCTGAAGCATTTTGAGCACCAGCAGGACACCATAGTGGAAAATTCCACACTTGACTTCTGCAAGGTGCAACTGAAGATATTATATGAAGTTCCCATCCAGCAAGATATATAAGGCATACATGAAACAAATGAATTCTATCTTTAGACTTAGGTCCTATCTCCAGGATATCTCATTATGCATATGCAAATATCCTCAAATTCAAAAATTCTCCAATCCAAAATTCTTCTGGTCCCAAGCATTTCCAGAAAAGGAGGCCCAATCCCTACTGCACATATCAAAGACACTTAACCTGAAATTAAAAAGAAACATAGCTAGAAGGAGATAAGTATATTTACAAATATTCAATACCAAGAACATTTTCGTAAATCACAATGTAAACAGTAGAAATTACTAGTTGTTTTCTATATGTACATGTCATGCAGGTCAAATAAGAAGTCTATCCACTTACACGATAAAGACATTATTTGGTAATATTCACAAAGACCAATTGATATTAGCATTTGTTGAAATAAAAAGAACAAGTTTTCAGAAATATTTCAATGTCTGTCTCAGTGTTCAAGTTTAGATTTAGCAGAATCTGTACTTGTATCTAAGTTCCTTGTGATTCTAAAGTATTACTTACATGAAGAAATAGTTGGAAATCTGAGCTAATCCTACATGTGGACTTACAGGGGGACCCTCCCACTCTCTAGAATGTGGTCCTCTGTTCAATACCCATGTGTGTGCGCCTCATACATACCACAAATGGAATACTAATAGGCATTAGTTGTTTTTATTGCTACTTGAACAGACTCAAAGTGGAACTCATTGGAATGAGAATCTAGACATTTTAGAAGATGCTTGCTTCATGTTGTCATTGCAAAATCAGTTATTATTAAAATGGCCTTCCCAATGGGAGGGGGGCTCTTGCTTTCTGGTCCCAGCCTCCACTCTCCTTTCAACTTGATTGTTACCTGTCTTCCAGCTGCTGTTCCACTTCCATTTTTGTCCCCTTGCAATCCATCTTCATGTGACAGCCAGAATATTGTGTTTTTTTTTAAGGTCACCAGCATTTTTAATCATAATAAAATATTCTTAATATAAAATTTACTGTTCTAACCATCTCAGAGGTACACGTCAGTGGCAGTGAGTACTTCCATATTGTTGCACTCCCATCACCATTATCCATTTTCAGAAATTTCCCATCTTCCAGAATGAAACTCTGATCAGTAAATAGTTAATTCTCCATTTCTTTCTCCTACCCCTGCACCTCTGTAAACACTTTTCCACTGTGTATCTCTGAATTTGAACACTCTGGATACCTGATGTAGGTGGAATCTTACTATTGTAAGATTTTTGTGTGTGTCTGGCTTATTTCACTTAGCATAATGTCCTCAAGATTTATCCGCAGTGTAGCATGCATCAAGATTTCCTTCCTTTTCAACACTGAATAATATTCCATTGTATGTAGGGACAACATTTTGTTTCTTTGTTCATTCATCAATGGACATGTAGGATTGCTTCCACCCCTGGGCTGCTGTTGGGTGTGAAAATATCTCTTTGAGATACTGCTTTGGATTCTATTAGATAAATGCAGAGAAGTGGGACTGCTAGATCATATGGTAATACTATTTTTAGTATTTTGAGGAACTGTCATACTGTTTTCCACAGCAGCTGCAGCGTTTCACGTTCTCACCAGCAGTACACCAGGATTTCAGCTTCTCTGCATCCTTGCCAACATGTGCTACTTTTTTTTTTTTAATAATAGCCATTCCACTGGGTAAGCAAAGTAATATTTTAAAAACACAAATTTAAAAATGTGTCTTCCTTCTTGAAACTCTCCATGGCTTTTCATTACTCCTTCCAACAGCCATCAAGCCTGTTCACATCTGATCCCTGTTTGGTTTTATTTGCCCACTTGGGACCTCTCCTTTGCCTAGCCCATGATATCTTTTGACTTCCTAGGACACTCTGTACTCTATTACATCCCAAGACTTTTGTATTTGTTCTTTTCTGTGCCAGGACTGTCCTCTTCCTTCACTTCGCATGGATGGTTGCTTATGCCCTTTTGGGTCATCTAAGAGTTACTAAAGACCCCTTGTAAGAATACCTCTCCATCCCTTTTGTTATTCTCTGCATCTTGTTCATTTTCTCTGTAGTATCTACCTATCATGAGTTCATTTCTTGCTTGCTTCCTGCTTGCTTTCAACAGAGTATAAACTTAATGGAGGGCAAAACCAGCTGCCTTCTTAGCCAGGTAGGATTGTAATAAATGCTCAATGATTTTGGAATTAAGTCACATGAGTTAGTAACCAAATTGCAAAAAGGTCATGGAAATCCACTATGTATTGGAAACTTTTCCCTCTAAAAATAGAACCTGTTCAATTTCTTGGATTTATCAAAAGAAAAGTATTTCAGAGAATAAATTTGTTGCCTAAAATCTTGTAAACTTTTTTCTTGTAATATATGTGTGTTTAGTATTAAGTAAACTACATGGTTGAATATTTATATTGCTAGACTCAAAATTGCTAAACAATTGTAACAAGAATGGCTTCTTCCTAAAACTGAGCCTTTAAAATTATTTCTACTTTTAAAAGATACATATTAAAAGGTAACAAAGCACAATACCATTTAATTCAAGCATTTTTATGCCACCAAGAAAAGGATTAAGTTATCACTTTTTTAGTTTTCTTTTCTTGCAGTGCTGGTACTGGGGACTGAATCCAGGACCTAGCTAGCATATACTAGGCAGGTGCTCTACCTCTGAGCTACACCCCAAATCCCTAGGCTATCACTTTTATCTGAAATCAAGCCTATTTTATCCCAGTGTTCTACAATAACTATGAAAACATCAAATAATTTACCAAAGAAATGTTTTTAAAGCAATTTTAAGAGTATGTGGGAGGGAAACTGAGAAGTTTTAATCTTTATTCATTTTAATTTCATATTACTCATCTTGGGGTGGGAGGCTAGGAATTCCAGTTTCAGTTATAGAGTTTACACATTAAAAGAGTAAATGAATTGCCTGGGATTCATTGAGTAAAAATGTTTCCTATACTGACAATTTGAAAACTCTCTGTCTGCACATTTACATACCAGCATCTAGATGTGAAGATTTTATTAATCCTGCTTAATGTCCAGGAGTCCTTTAATCTGGAAACTTCTCCCTTCTCACTGCTATCATGTATTTTATCCTCTTCTTTGACTTCTTTTGACAGTTCATTTCACTTTTTTCCACACATTTTCTTTTTTTAAACCTGTCTTTTCTGTTATTTATTACACATCTTTTTAAACAGACACCCCCTATTATTTCTAAATCAGTTGTCTCAGACTTCAGCATGCATTACAACATGGATGGGGAACTTGCTAGAAAATTGTTGGATTTCACCCTCAGAGTTTCTCATTCAGTAGTTCCTGGGCTACAGTCCAAAACATTGACTAACAAGTTCTCTGGTAATTTTGATGCTACTGAGATGAGGACCACAAATATGGTTAAGAATCTGTACCACATGTCTAACTCCCAGGTGATGTTGAAGATACTGGCCTTTGGGCTATCCTCTGAGTAGCAAGAATCTAGAACAGTGATTCCCAAATTCTGAATCTTGGACCAATAGCATCAAAATTACCTGAGAATTTTTAATTATAAATGCAATTCCTTAAACAATGTGTAAAATACTATCTAAAACATGAATTTAATCAAGGGGATATACAATAAAATCAGCATAATGACAACCATGTGATCTAGAATTTAATCAAGGGGATTAAATTTAATGACTTTTAAAAATCATAATCTTGATTATGAATATATTTTCTCAAAATAATCTGAAGCTTCCTGTTATGAACTTGAATTTTTTTTGTCTCTTAAATTATTTATGCTCCTTCCAGTTTTCCTTGTTCAGATTGTTAATTTTGTTTCTTGTATTTGTATCTGTCCTGTAGTAACAAGTGATCCCAGAAATTGCTGTGGATCGTAAGAACAAAAGTGTGTTTCTTGTTTATCTTCTATGTTGACTGAAGTTCAAGGATGGTTCTACTCTTCTCCACGTGTCTTTTATCCTAGGAGGCTGAAGGAGGGATCTTAATATGGACAATTCCTTTCTTTAGGCTGAAGAAAAAGAGAAACAGGGTTGACAGAAACACACAAGAGCTCTTAGGAATTGTATTTGGTTATGGGGCTCATCACATCTGTTGACATGCTATGCCAAAGCAAGTTGTAAGGATAAACTCAATGTCAAGAACATAGGAAGCACATCTTTCTGCAGGAGGTACAAGTCACAGGTCCATGACATGTAATCCTGTTACAGGAAGGGGAAGTAAATAATGTCCTTCATTTTATATGATGTTGGTCTTCTTCAAAGAACTGAATATATAAAACCAACCTATATTAGAATGAATTTCCTCCGAAGTGGTATATATCTGTTTTTCTTGCAGACTTCTCCCTAGAATACCTAGAATGAGAGGAATACTATTTATTGCTATGAGAAGGAGTGGTGAGCTTTGATCAGCTGACTTCTCTGTGTATGAAGCAGGCAAGTGCCACTTGCTAACAACTCCTGGGGTGGTTTATGCTCATTATTCCCACAGGATTGTCTCATTAGAAGGAAGCATATGGGAGGTAGAGTAGAAGGAGAAGGAAGAATCCTTAGACCAAAGGATATTGGTCTAAAAGCTTGTAACGTGCTTGAACTTTGTTGCAATCAAATTCCACCATGGAAGTAGTGGTGTGGGTGTTACAGAGGGTCCTTCAGCCCAGGTTTGGGGTTTAGGTATTTTCTCCAGCACTTTGGGAAGCCAGTGGAGGATTCTAAACAGGGAAGCAACAGAATCTGATGAAAAAACCTCTTCCTCTTGGAACTGATGAACAATTTAATAGAAAAGAATGTTTGTTATATACATCATTTGTTATGAAGGATGTTAAAATAAAATGAGCACTTAGAGGCTATTTTGACCCAATCTAAGGAAATTTTTTAAATCAGTCAGGGTCCAATCATCTGACTAAAGTTATACTAGTTATTTAAACAAAGGGAATCAAATATAAAGAATTGTTGTCTATTCCCAGCACTAAAAAAAATTGTTAGGGCACTTGTGGAGTTGTCAGCTGGTGAGTGAAGGGTGAAGAGGAAAGACTGGGGTGTTATGGAGACAGCATTCATGGGAAGCAGCTCCAGGGCTCAAGCTTGGGAGCAGAGAAAAAGTTGAGATTGTTGATACTTAGAAGCCTACAGGAGGGACCCATTAATCTGAGACCCAGAACTCTGAGGAGGGACCTGCATGGCTGATGACGTTACCAAGCCCTTAAATTTCTCTGGGGGGCCTCTCTGGTGTATTTCCTGCCACACCCCTCAGGATTAACCACGGTCCTGACTTGATTCCCATGCATTTCTTAAGGTTTTACCACACATGTATGTAGCCAAACATTATGTTGTTTAGTGTTTTCTGGTTTTAACTACTAAGAATAGTATCTTCTAAATATTTTCTTTTAAAAGTTTCATAGTTTTGGCTCTTCTTTGAGGCATAGGATCCATCTTGGGTTGATTGTTTAAATCTCAGGAGGTTTATCTTTCCCACAGTGGCCCTGCTCTGGGCAGGCTCAGAACAGACACTGAGAACTGGGTAACTGTCAGCAACCATGAAAGAGGGATGCTGACATCCTCTCTGGATGACAGTGGGGACAGCTGACCAGCCTCACCAGCTCCTAATGATGAATGGACAGTGTGTACTCTGGCGCTGGCCTGGGTTGACTCTTGTTTTTCTCGGAAGTCTTTCTTTTGAGTGGCTTGTCATGGCTGATTTCTATGTCATTTTGGTTAGGCCACAGTAGCCAGATATTTGGTCAAACACTAGATGTTTCAATGAGGGTATGTTTTATATGAGATTAAGATTTCCATTGGCAGACTTTGAGAAGAGCACATTACCCTCCGTAATGGGCATGGGCCTTGGAGATCAGTTGAAGCCTTTAGACAGACAGACCTCCCCTATGGGAGGAAGAATTTTGTCTGAGGCTGCCTTTGACTCCAGGTGCAGTCTCAAATCTTCCCGGGGTCTCCAGCCTGCGGGTTTTGAACCTCCAGCCTCTACCATCTCACAAGCCCATCTCTTACAATTCCTCAGTACGTTCAGGTGGTTCTCAACTTACCCAGGTTAATGTCCCCGTAAACCCATCATAAGTTGAAAATATCATAAGCCAGAAATGCAGGTTATAACCCCAGCATACTAAACATCATAACTTAGCTTGCCAAACACCTCAGCTTCACACAGTACACTGGAGAGTAGGTACTGCCTTTCATCTTGGTAACTGTATGGCTTGATGCTGCTGCTCACAGGAGAGCCACAGTGCATAGTACTAGCCGAGGAAACCATCAAAATTCATAACTTAAAGTATATTTTGCACTGAATGCTTGTTGCTTCACACTGTCATAAAGTCGAAAAACTATAAATTGAAGGCCACCTGAATGCACAGCCCATTGGTTCTGCTTCCCTGGAGATCTCGGGATAATGCCTGGTGTTTTTGTGGAGTTTTGGGAGATGGGAAAACTTGGCCTTCAAAGCTGTTACTAGGCTCTCTATTGGGTTTCTTAGGAGGTGGTGTGTCTGACTGGATCAGCAGAGGGGGCAGTGGGGTGATATCTGCTGGACACTTGTCCAGGGTTCTGCAATCAAGGAAAAAAGGAGCAAGGATACTGGAGAGATTGGAGATGGAAAATTACCTGCCTAGCGGGTCCCGTCCTTTCTCTGAATTCTTAACCTAAAGCAGAAGGATGCAATAAATGTTCTTCTGCTATGTGAGACTCAAGCTTTTCAAGGGTTATGTTCCTACAGTGTGCCAGGCTTTGCAGGGACTATGGGATGGAATAATTTTAGCTACTTGAAGAAATGTCCCCTTTTTTGTTCTCTTTATGGACACATACTGCTTTCCCAGCATCTTGATCTTGACTTCAGTGGGCGGTTGCTCCCTGTGTGGGGTGGGAGCAGGGCAGGTCCTGGACTCACGAGTGTTTCCTGACAAGGAGACCCAAGCAGTTGTGCTAAGCTCTGCTACCCTGGGCCCCCTAAGAATGATGGAAATGTCTTCACCTGTTTGTGAATCACCCTGTCCTTGCGTACTTAGATGACAAGCATTAGCAATTTTTTTGCAAGGGTTGTCCAAATCCCTGGGCTTAATAGAAGAATCTGTGAAGTCCACGCTCTGGGGGCTTACCAAGGAGGTGCTTGTCCAGAAAACACATGGCTCTCATCATATGCTCAGGGAGGCTAAGGCTGAGCCAGTTTTGTGGTCTGTGTTCTGGACAATCTGGATAAAACAGAAGAGCAGAGACTACTAAGTCATCTTTGTGGCTGAACATTGCTATCGACAATCCTTTAAAGTCTTAAGCCATGATTCTTCAAGTCCTTTGTAGAGCTGGAAAGCAAAACCAAAAAACTTTAGGGCATCTTGCTTGGAGGAAAAAGTAATTTAAAGCATTTAACTAGGTAAATACTTACTTTTTGATGTTGTAGATTGAAAAAATACCTTCTCCATGGATGTTGACCAAACTAACCCCGGCTTTAGAATTAATGCCTGAAAAGAGAAGATACATTTGTCCAGGGGTAATTCAGACCCCCAAGGCTGTGAATAAAAAAGCTACATCCAAACTGCAATAGAAAAGACAGCCTGGATGTGTACCCACACATCTTGATAACTACACTTGATTTATAAATGGCAGTATCAAATCTTTAGAATTTTATAAGTATCCTTCCATGATATAACTCATTTCCTCTCTAAGGGTACTGTTACAGATGGTGTGTGTGTGCAATATTTTAACAATTTATCCACAGTCATTTAAAGATATACAATAACATTTATGCACATTATAATATTTAGCAAGATGGGAAAAACAAAGCTTGTGTTTAATGATATTCAGAAGTACTCCAAGCAGAAAAACCCTGCACATTCTTTTTTTTCTATACATTTATAAGTCACTGCAAGAAGAAGATAATTAATTCCCCTGTTAGTAGTATTTTTAAATGAATCATACTCCAGTCAAGGGGGGCTCTAGGCCTTCTACTTGTGCTATTTTAGATAAAAGTCTTTAAGAGCCCCAGTGAGCTAAGCTTGTCACCCATCCCTCTAGGTGACATTCACAAGGAGAGTCTCCAACTGCATGAGATGTGGCTGGGGTGACTTGCAGGGAGATCAGAGGACACACTGATCACACAGCTGATCAAAGGAGGCACATAGTGTATTTCTTCTCTCAGAGATAAAAGTGACTTCGTGGGCCACAGTTAAGGGTACGGGGACTTCCTTGAAAGACAGAAATGACTTTGAGTCCTGGAAACCTGGAATCAGGACAGATAGAGGAAACAGGTAATGGTATGAAGACATTGCTTTTCTTTCCTTCCTTTTCCTTCTCTTTTCCCTCCCTTCTTTCTTTCCTTCCCTTCTTCTTTTTTCCATTTGTGTGTGTGTCTCTCTCTCCCCACTTACAGTTTGTAGTTACATTTAAAAATTAAAATACTAATTTTAATAACAAATTTAACTTAACCCAATATACCCAAAATATGATCATGTGAATATATGATAAATATAAAAATGACTATTGAGATACATTTCAGTTTTTAGTGCTGGGGGACTAAGCTTTTCACGTTGTGTGTATTTCACGGCACACCTCAAATTGGATGAGCCACATTTCCAGTGCACAGCGGTTCATGTAGCTCATGCTGCTTTCCTGGACAGTTCATGCCTGAGGCAAGAAATGCGCGGGCATTGGCAATGCTGTGGTTGATCTCAGTTTGGGGAGAACTATTTAGGAGGCTCAGATAAGAAATGTTGTTCAGTCCTGGCATATAAGTCCCTTGGTCTGTATTGTATCTTCATTTAAATCTTTCAGGATATCTCAGTCCCACACAGCAATGATTATATCAAGAAAAACTTCCTTCCAGGAGCTCACAGAGGAATTTGCCAGGTCTAGGGTCCCCAAAATTCCACTGGATTGAGATGGACACAGGGAAAATGGCTTTCTGAGGTTTCATAGTCTGGTGCACACAGATGGTGTCATCTTCATCTTCTAATGAAGACAGACGGTGTGTCAAGGGGCTCTGAGAGAATCATGCCATGTAGTAGAAATCACTGTCTAAAACCCTAAGAGGCCTAAAGCCACATAAAGGCAGAGGTTGAGTTAACAAAGGATAAAGCACGTGAGTGAGAGGAGATAGAGAAGATGCATGGGACAATATTGCAAGTGGCAAATGAAGCTTTGGGGGTGGTCATGCCTTTTAAATATGGCCAGTTTGGGACCTAGAAGACCTCCAGATTTCTACCTTCACAGTTCCCCAAACTTGAAATCCTCGATACACTGTTAGGGATTTCTGAGGCTGCAGAGACCAGGAATTTGAGATGTGTAGCTGATTCACCTGCTAGCATGACAATCTTCTGCCCTCTTCCCTAGAGAGCAGCCAGCAGGAATTTATGAAGACATTTATCAGGTTAACTTGTTTACAAACAAACAAAAAACATGCAGAAGAAAGACAAGTGCTCAGGAATCTCAGCTTCACAAAGAACTCACAGGATGGACCCTGCCAGGTTCCTCTGTCTGGTCCTGTACTTCTTCCTGCAGCCAGTTGGCTCCTCAGATACCCTATGCTGCTTCCACCTGAGGACATTTGCACCTATTTGTAGTGTGATAGCTAAGAGGCTGATCCAGGAACCAGTGAGCTGGGCTCTGCTGCTGCAGGGGTGCAGACACACGTGTGCACCTCCATTCTCTTACCTGTGGCAAGGTGATACTATTAGCATCTCTGTTTCCTGGAGCAATGAGGAAGATTAAATGATGAAGCAGATTAATGAATGTGTGTAAATGCTGAAAACAGTGCCTTGTATTCAAAAAGTGAAAAGAGAAAAAAAAATAGGCTTATTGCAACTTGTGTAGCAGCAAAATGTGTTCTGACACGAGGCCATTGTTGATTGATGCTGCTTAGTGAGATAAATCAATGATTCCTGCAGCAATGTGGATGATTGATGGTGAGGCGGGGCCTAGACTCTGCCTAGGGTATTGTGTGCAATGAGGTATGTGCACCGTAGCTATTTCTAAAATCTAAAACTTCCAATCTGGAACTTGCCTTTCTCTAAGGGTCTTATATGTGGGATTACGGGGGGGGGGGGACACCATTCTTTGAAGTTCAGCTTGCCATTCACCTGTGCAGAGTGGTCTTCTGACCTCCTCCCCAGGCAGCTCCCTCCTTTGGCGGACCTTTGATTTCCTGACTCTATTTACTTCTCCTCATCACACTTCCCCCTATCTGAAATTATTTGATTTCTGGTTTTAATAATCATTTGTTTCCTAACAGGTTCAATAATCACATCTCCAGTGAGGACTTCACTCACCCTTGAACTCCATATTGTCTGTACAAGTGATAACCTGATGTCTCCACTTGGAAGTCACAAAATGGGACTTCTGAGGCCTCTCTGCTGTTCCTCACATACTTTTCCCATTTCCATGTCAAGGTCAATGGTGGCTCCAGCCTTTCAGGCACATAGTCTGCCTTGTCTTCCTCTCTCTTCTACCCACATGTATTTCCCATCAAATACTCAAAAGTCCATGTGAGGTCTGACCCCCTCAGGGCACTTCTGCCATTTCTGGTCTAGTGCAAGTCACCTTGGCTTCTTGCCTGGATTCCCAGGCCCTTCCCAGTAGCTTCCGTGGCAGCCTCCTTGGTTCCCTGGCCTCAGCACCTGTGCTCTCACAGCTCATCTCCTGCAGACTCACTGGCCGGCCGCTCTCTTTCTCTCCACCTAGAGTGTTCTCCCTCTGGGCTCACTCTCTCATGTTTTCAAATACTTAATCCAGTGATCATATCCTACTCAGAGGGTCTTACCTGACTGCTCATTAACATTTCAAATTTTTGCCATTCTTATATGCCCTATACCATTCTCTACCTAGTGTCCTCATGACATGTAATGCTTTCTAACTACCTCCTGGGCCTCCCTGGATGCACCACACCATACTTTTATGGCCACAGGAAGATTACCTGGCATCCACCACATTCCGGAGAGCCACAGAAGTGGGGAGGATTTGAGTAGCCTGAGAGCAGGCTCCCTGAGCTCTGCCACCATCTTGGCAGACAGCAAGGCGTGTTCCTGCCTTGGGCAGTGAGGCCCTCTGAAGTAGCCACCCTGTTCCCTCATGTCTGCTGAGGCAAAACTGGACACAGTTGTGCTTTTGATGAAGCCATACTCAGCTTGGTAACCATCCCTGTGTGTTTTCTCCTTGGCCCACTTCACCCCACTCTCCCTTATTCCTGCCATAAGCTCTTCTTCAAGTTCTATATTTTAAGGAACCCAGTGTTAATTGCATACATAGATGTGAATTCTTATCCTTGCTCGTTTCTATCTACTCTCCTAGTATATAAACCAAGTCTATGCATTTCATCCAGTTCTGTGTCCTCAGAGCCTGGAATAATGTCTGGTACATTGAAGGTGTTCAATTAGTTGACTACACTGATGGTTTAGCTGAATGTTATCTTGTCTGTCCCAATAGAACTTACCTTCTATGAATCAAGGATGCTGCCATCTTTCTCAATATTGTTTCTCCAGCTATTATAGTGATTGTGGAGTATTTTAGTTTTCCATAGGTATTTTAAAATAAATATATGAATGAAACCAGGAGAAAGCAATACATAGAATGTTATTGAGGGACACATAGTCATTGAAAATTGGAGACATATCCATGGAAGTTTCTAGAAATTCCAGAAACCGGGACAACTCAATCAGAGGGGTTGATTATTATACTTGAATTTATAAGATTATACTTGACTCTATTATACTTGAATATACAAGATTATTATACTTGAATGGGGATGGCTTCATCAGAACTTTCATAAAATCTTTGGTATGTTTTTATACAAACATTTCAAAATTAAATTTTAATGATCTTGGACAAGAGGAACAAGATGTAGCACCTGGTGGCCCATGCACCCTCAAATGCAATGGCCCAGTGTGACTATACCTGGTGTCCCATCCAAGGGTCTGCACATCTTGCCTCCATGCACTTGATATGCCTACATCTTCCCAGAACACATGCCCCTTAGAGCATTCCCTTGACATAACCCACCCTGCTTTGCCTGATTCTAAGTTGCACCTTGGTATGAGTTTAGTTCATATTAGTTCTACATGAGGGTTTATTTATTTTCCCCTTTTCAACTCATTCAAATCAATAGCTTTTTTCAAATTGAGATCCTATGTGCCAGGTATTATTAGGCTTTTGTGATGTCCATCAGTCAGGGCACCCACAGAAAACAAAAGGCACAATCGAACTGAGATAATTCAAGGAGAGTTTACAAATCAGGGGACTGCTTATAAAGGTGTGGGGGACTATGAAGCCTCATGGGCTGATGCAGTGGCTGGAACCAGTAGTCAGGCCTCCCCTGAATGCTCTTCCCAAGCCTAAGACTACCACCAATCAGGATATTTCAAAGTTATAACTCTGGCTGATATTGTTGTTAAAATTTGCTTTACTTTCTACTACAGCAAATGGGAGACTTACATAATGACCTTGAAGGTCAAGTCTGCATATAAAATCACGG